ATCAATAGAAACATTCTTATACACAATATTTACAAGTTCGCACAATCCACCGACACTCCACAAAGCACTCCATTAAAAAGCAGTGTCTCGAAGGAAATCAAGATGGCGGCATAGGTAAACACCGGAAATTGCTGCCTCGCACAACCACTTCAAAAATACAACTAAAAGACAAAACGGACACCATCCAGAACCACAGGAAGGCTGGCTGAGTGAAAATTCTACAACTAGAAGGAAAGAGAAAAGCACACTGAGACTCAGAGGAGGTGCGGAAGTAAAGTGCAGAGGTACGGAAGCACACGTGGAAAGGGCTGGCAACTGAGGACACGGTTATCTTTTTCAATCAGGAGGGAGACACAAGCTCCCGGCCATGAACTCTGGTTCCGGGCGAGTCTCTGGGGACCCAGACTCATATGGGGAGAAACTGGACTGTCTGGCATTGGTTGGACCTCGAGGGCAGCTTTCTCTCAGAGGTGCTTGCAGCGAATACTGAGGAACACTGAGACCCGGGGCCTCTTAGGGCATAACTGAGGATCAGCCATAGTTGTTTGCCCTGTTGATTCCCTGAGACCCCGCCCAACCCGAGCTGTGCTCAGAGGCTTTTGCATATGAATGACCTGGCCCTTTGCAATCTAAAATTACCTAACAAACTGCAGCTGGGTCAGAGAGACCCAGAACATCCAAAAGAAGGCTCAAGGCCCCACAGCAGCTTGCATTGCTTCACAGCTGGGCCTCATCTGGGCACCTCCAAACCCCAAACAAAGAGGAATCTGAAGATCTCTCCATAGCTCCTGCTGGGTAACCTCAGGCAGAGGCTAAATTAGCACCTCCTTAGAGATCCAAGAGCCAATGTACCCAGTGGTCAGAGTGGGACCATCCAGATTACAATCCTCAGATCCATAAGGGACACACTCAAGGGGCAGTCTCAGTGAGCACCAAAGCCCCACTGAAGCAAGTCTTGCCCCAGAAGTGTGTCTCCAGCACAGAAGTTCTCCCACAGTAGACACAGCTGATTCTCACAGCCAATTGTCCTGGAGGTCAATTCCTCTTAGTGATACCTACAACAATCAAGGCTTAACTACAACAAGACTGTGCACACAGCCCACAAAGGGGTGCACCAAGAGTGTCCACCTCAGGTAATTGGGGAGGCTGAGCCACTGGACCCTATAGGACATTTAGCACAGAAAGCCACTCTATCAACACAGGGAAGCAGTCAAAATGAGGAGACAAAAAAAGGGTCACAAATGACAGAAATGGAGGACAGCAAACGACTGGATATAGAGTTCAAAACCATGGTTATAAGGTTACTCAAGAATCTTCTAGAAACCGCTGATAAATTTAGTGAGACCCTCCATAAATCTAGAGAGACCCTCAAGGATATGAAAAAGGACCAACTAGAAATTAAGCACACACTGACTGAAATAAAGAATATTATACAGAGATCCAACAGCAGACTAGAGAATCCCAAGAATCAAGTCAAAGATTTGAAATACGAAGAAGCAAAAAACAACCAACCGGAAAAAAACAAAAAAAAGAATCCAGAAATATGAAGATAGTGTAAGGAGTCTCTGGGACAACTTCAAGCGTACCAACATCCGAATTGTGGGGGTGCCAGAAGAAGAGAGAGAGCACGATATTGAAAACCTATTTGAAGAAATAATGACAGAAAACTTCCCCTACTTGGTGAAAGAAATAGACTTACAAGTCCAGGAAGCACAGAGAACCCCAAACAAAAGGAATCCAAAGAGACATCATAATTAAAATGCCAAGAGCAAAAGACAAAGAGAGAATCTTAAAAGCAGCAAGAGAAAAATAGTTACCTACAAGGGAGTACCCATATGACTGTCAGCTGATTTCTCAACAGAAACTATGCAGGCCAGAAGAGAGTGGCAAGAAATATTCAAAGTGATGAATACCAAGAACCTACAACCAAGATTACTTTATCCAGCAAAGCTATCATTCAGAATTGAAGGTCAGATAAAGAGCTTCACAGATAAGAAAAAGCTAAAGGAGTTCATCACCACCAAACCAGTATTATATAAAATGCTGAGAGGTATCCTTTAAGAAGAGGAAGAAGGAGAAAAAGGTAAAGATAAAGATTATGAACAACAAATACATATCTATCAACAAGTGAATCTAAAAATCAAGTGAATAAATAATCTAATGAACAGAATAAACTGGTGAATATAATAGAATCAGAGGCATAGAAAGGGAATGGACTGACAATTCTCGGGGTGGGGGGGAAAGGGTGTAGGGGGTGCGGGAAGAGACTGGACAAAAATCGTACACCTATGGATGAGGACAGT